GAGCTCGACTCGGAGCATCTTCAAGGTGTCCGAGTCTTTCCTCTTGAGTTCGTCGCTGCGCTGCCTCTCGCGCTCGCGTTCCCGCTCGCGTTCCCGCTCGGCCTCCCGCTCCCTTTCGCGGGCTCGCTGCCTCTCCAGCTCCTTCCTCCTCTCCTCCTCCTCCTGTTCTTGGTCCTCGTCTTCGTCTTTCTTCACGTCGACGGCGTCGCCGCTCGACTCCTCCAGGACGAGAACGCCAGCGTCACTGTTCAGGCAGCGCAGCTTCCACCAAAACAAAACGAGTTGAGACCCTCTGTCGCCGCCTTTGGCCCGGTCGACTTCAAGCTGGGATTTGGCGAACAGTTGAAAAGCAGGCCGCCTCGACCCAAATCGTCTACCTTGTTGATTTCGATCTGGGTTTCGCGCAGCTTCCTCTTAAAGCGCTGCACGTCCCCTTTCAGTTGCAGGTTGTGGTTCTGAAGGCTGCTGATTAAGTGTCGCATCTCCCTGTTGATTGGTCCTGGGGAGGATGGCAGGGAGACAGAAGGGAAAAAAATTGTTGACGACACAAACAAAAAAACGCGTTCTAAGTGGAGGGGAATGAATGCACAAAAATGACAGCACTGTATTATGTGAAGTCAGAATAACGGCTGTGTTTTGCCGTGGCGCACTTTGTCGCTGTGGCGTATACGCTACCCGCTTGCTCGTTGGCGGCAAGATTTTGCTCAAACTCGATGCGCAACATCTCGTATTCTTTGCGCACTTGGGCTAGCGTGTCCTCCAGCTGGATGACTTCGGTGCGCAGCTTCTTCTGGAGGGACAGCTCGTCGCTCTGCGTGGTCAGACGCACGCAAGCGGCGTCAGGACGACTCGATACAGCACGGACAAGCGATGGTGGCGGCGTCGAAAAGGGAATTCATTTGAAGTGTACCTCCATGTGCTCAATCTGTCTGAGGTGGGCGTTCTTGGCTGTGAGCAGCAGGGCCCGAGCCTCATCCAGCTGGGTTTTCACTCCCAGGGACTCGTTGTAGAGCAGCGAAAACTGAGACTGCAGACACTTGTACTCTACCGTCTCCTTCACGACCTCCTCCGGAATATTACGCAAATCCATCTGGAACAAGGAGGAAGAAGCGGCAGCGGTGAAGGCGCGGGCCTCGCTCTTTTTTTGTCATAAAAAAAAAAAATAAATGAGACCAAGATAAATGATTTCAAAACTTTTTACAGCATTAATGTGAACTTAATTGTAACAAAATTACTTTTTTTTTTTTAAATTCATAGAGAAATCAAAAGAAACAACTATAAAGATGGATTCAGGTCACAAACACACTCCATTTCAACAGCCACTTTTCTCACACCTGCTTTGTTTAGTTAAATGAAATCTAACTTGAGCTGCGGTTTGTCTGGCGGCTCATCAACACGGCCGTCCCCGTTGGGAGCAAAACAAACGCGCTGAGAACTTGTTGAAAAGCCGGGAGCCGCGCCAGTTGATGTAATGCACACTGCATTCCAGCAGAGCTTAATTGCTACCCTCGTGGGTATTATGAGAACACGCAAACTGTGGCAGCTCCTCCGTACGAGGACCCAAACATCCCCGGCCTGCAACGGAGCAAGCCAGCTATCAATCGTGGCCGTCACCTTGAGCTTCTCACTCTCCCTCACGGCCTCTTGGAGCTCCACCTGCAGCTTCTCCAACTCTGCCATGCGGCTATTGGCCAACTCCTGGTTGTGCTCCAGCTCCGTGTTAAGACTCCCAAACTGGGAAGGAAGCCCCGGGGGGGGAAAAAAAAAAAAAAAAAAAAAAAGTTATGAATGGAAGAGGCACAAAATGGGCGCGTGTGTCATTTTTACAAGCGCTCACCTTTTGGATGGTTAATGTGATTTGGCCGCCAGCGAGCCCACCCGAACTGCCAGTGCTGCTGTAGCCAGATTTTAGCTGCAAACCACAAACAATTGGACAGAATCAGTCATCATTTAGAAATGAAGACTAGACTACAGCTTGGATTTGCGATTTCTCTTTCTTGTTTGAACTACCAATCCATCCATTATTCTCTTCTGCCGCGCCCCCAAAATACTGAAGTGCTCCATGGATGAAACGCACCCCGGCTGTGGAAGAGCGTTTGACCCGTACCGGATGCAACTCATTTATTCAACCAGTTAAGGAAGAGCGGGTCTAAGTTTTGTTTATTTGGATTTCTTCCTTCCTGTCACGAGCATTTCTGAAAAATGATGGAAATGCATTTTTCCAATGATGCTCCCATAACATTTTGGTGAGGAAAAACATGCCGCTTCGGTCGCGCTTGTCGTCATTCGGGTCACGGGTGAGCTGGAGTTTATCCCACATGACTGTGGGTGAGAGGTAGGGTACGGCGCAGGGCATATGAGACAAACAACTGCTTCCACACCAACTTGTGATTTATGATTTTGAGGTATGGGAGGAAAAAATACACACGGAAGAGATGGTTTTAAAAAGTCCTGTTTACAATAACAGCTAACATTGGCTGTTATGGGCGAGGGAACTTCTAAGCAGGGCACAATCTGACTTTAAGTTACCCGCCTCTTTGAAGTTAATTGCCTCCAATTAACTTTTTTCCCCCTCCTCCATGAGCAGAAAGGTGAGAGGGGAGCAGTTATGCACGAAGGTCATTTTAGCGTGTAGATTAATACTAATAGTCCAAGGTGCTTTTTTTTGGGATATTATAATGCTTTAAATCTAAGAATGGATTTTTTTGGTTTATCTTTTTTAATATCCTAAATTTACCAAATAATTCCCAAGTTCACATAATAACGTAACGTAATAAAACCTCACCTGCTCCATGGCCTCTGCCAAGTGCTTGTTGAGCTTTTGTTCCCTGTTTCGGAGTTTCTCAATGTCCCACTGCAGGTCCTCCACAGTGGTTTCCATTTCTGACACCTTAGTCTCCGCACTGGTCACCTTGTCCACCCATTCGTTGTACTGCCAGGGGAGGGTAAAAAGGCTTGTTTAATTGTGACACGCGTAGGCAGGCGCTAACTGAGCGTGTCCGAGGCATCTCACCTCCATGGATGTTTTGTGATGTCGGCCCTGCAGCAGAGTGGCCTGGTCTCGCAGTCTGCGGTTCTCGTCCAGCAGAGTGCGGTTCACAGAGCCCACGGTGGCCAGGTTCTCGTCCTCGCACCCTGCAATGAACGAACGGGCACGGCTGAGTTGGGCAGCCTTACAGATGACAGTGAACTTCCCAGCGAGAATGTGTTTCACAGTTCAGGCCCTCGCTGTCAGATTTGCAACTTTGAAAAGAGGCAGAATTTTGCGACCATCATCAGGACACATTTGTCATACCCGCCGCTTGGATCTGTTTGCACATGTCGTCAATGCAGCTGTGTAGCCTGTCAAAGACGCACACGAGGCAGGCGATGGCATCCTTGCTGAACAGCATGCGGTGCTGGAGATGCAGTGAGACCTCCTCTTCGCTGCTGTGCTCCAGCGTGGCCAAGAAACCTTTGGCGCTGCCGCTCAGGGGGGGAGGCGGTGGCGGCAATGATTCTGCGTACAACAATAAATGATGATATAAAAGATTGGATTAGAAATATTGAAAAAGCACACAATAGCAATTAACCTGTGGTTGGTTGCCGTGGGGGCTCTGTGGGTGTTAACTGCTCCGATCCATCAGGTGGTGGAGGCTGCTGAGGAGTCTCTTGTTGCCCTTCTTTCGTTACTTCATCTTGCTGTTGATGCTCTGGTTGTTTTCGGTCATTCTGTGCCTCAGGGAGTGGAGGTGGAGGCACACCGCAGGTTGGCGACGCTATATTGACAGCGTCTGTCTCCATGGGCACAGGATCAGGAAGTGGAGCAGGTGGGGGAATTGGTGTTGATGCTACTGGGGCCGCTGGTTCGATACATTTGCGCAGAATATGGACCTTTTCTTCCAGCTGGAATGAAAACGTTTTCTGCAATTACGTTGCGTTTAAGAGGACAAGCTCATAAAATTGTTCCATGTACTCGTACCTCAGACCAGTAGCGGTTTACAATCAGCAGGGTGGTGTCATCAGTCGCTTGCCTCTTTTCAAGCTTCTCTATTTTCTCTCGTAACTCGTCCTCCATCGCCTGCCGCTGCTCCAAGCGCTCACTCAGCTTCTTATTCTTAAACTGGATCACTTTCATGTCCATTTCCTCCTAAACATCAAATAAGGGAGGCTTGACCATGCTGAATTCAACTGCAGGGTGATTTGCAGATGTAGTTAGGCTCACCGTAGACGAGACTCCTCCTATGCGAATGGGCTCAATGAGAGTGGTGGTGGTCTTCTCCTCCTTTTTGCTTTTCTTCTCAGGTGGGCCGGGGGGGCTGTCCCCACCGGAGGGACGCTTTCCTCCCCCTGCACCTGACATCTTCACTTCCCCTGCATGGAAGCCAACATGAAGTAACATTTAGACTTGTTCTGAAAGAACAATAGCATAACCATACTCATTGATTCGTGTCGACAGTTACCAACGAATTTAGTCTCGTTTGAACAACAAGCGCCCCAACTACACTGTTGCAAACGAATTAATGAGCAAATGTATCTTTGATTTGTTAATCCGGGTGACGAGTGGCTAGCCAAACCAAAAATATATCTTAGATTAGCCCGTGCGGCTAAAGCAAAGTAGGCTAACGCGAACACCAATTCCGCCAAAGCACACAAAATTCCTGGACAATGGGAATACAATTTTTTACACGCACAATAAGCACATTTCTAGATTAAAGTTTACGTGTAAAGCAGCTTCTGGTTTTCTATCAAAAATACAAACCTTCCCAGGAGCGACTTGATGAAACACTTCAAGACATCGGAGCAGCTAGCGGAAGTAGCGACACGCACTTCCGCTCACAAGAGACGCTAGCTGGCAAAATATCGAAGAATAATTTTCGTTTCTACTACTATAAAATAAAATTGTTCAACTATTGCTACAACCGGAGCTTACCTATTAATTCTAATAAAATACACTAATTTAAAAAGAAAAAAAAAAAAACAACACAACGCACTCCGGCCACGCGAGGGCGATACTGACGGCAAAAAAAAAAAAATCCAAACCGAATCAGTTACGAGGAATGCAGGCAAAATGTCATCACTTTCCAAATATTGTCTTGTTTTGGCGGAGTCGCTTGGGATACGATCGCCACTGACGCGGGTACAGTGATGGCTTCACATTAGCTTTGTCGCATCACCGTGCACCCTTTTGATCGCTCCCGCGGTGGCTGTTGTTAGCGTTTCTCTGACATACATGGTGAGTACGGAATAGCTTTGCACGGTCAGTGAACTGCGGCGTGCGAGGCCATAACGGGCACTTGAATATTACTAATAGCATATTTTAGAAACAACGCGAGAAAGATGTGGAAAAGACGCATCTCAACAATGTGGAATAACAGCAAGCAGAAAACACGTACACACCTATGTACAACACACACACTTCCCTGTACGTACTGCAGTTCCTGTTATTGAGTATTGCCTTGAAGTTGAACTCTGACTACTTTTTGTTGTTGTCAAAAGAGTCCCATTCCGTAAGCATGACAAAAGACATAGTGCTTGGAGATGATCTGCCGGACTGGGTGGGCGCAAAGGAGTTTTACCAGAAGTATGACCCCAAAGAGGTGATTGGCCGGTGAGTCCATTTCAGGAACAAAAATAAGAGTAGATCCCCGTGGAGCACCACGGAGTATCCTTTTCCATATTCAATACTTCCTGGTGGACGAGTAAGAAGGCTGTTCTCTTCATGTTGTTGTCAGGGGCGTGAGCAGCGTGGTGCGCAGGTGCGTGCACAGACACACCGGGCAGGAGCTGGCCGTCAAGATCATCGAGATCACCGCCGAGAAGATGACCATCCAGCAACTGGAGGAGGTGAGGACATCCACGCTCAAGGAGATCCAAGTCCTCAACATGGTCAAAGGCCACTCGTCAATCAGTAGGTCCAAAATGCACTCATGACACACTTCGGAACGGCAGCCTGTTTGTTAACGGCCCTTGATTTTTTTTCACTTAGTTACTCTCGTTGATTCCTATGAGTCCACTACCTTCATCTTCCTGGTGTTTGACCTGTGAGTAGAATGACATATATTGCTGACACATATTGTAATACCTCTACAGCAGTCGAGGCTGAGTATTCAAATCTTGTTGAAAGCAAACTGGTCATGCTGATATCATGAGGCCCGATATCAAAATGTAATCTGTGTGACCAGAATGGTTCAATTTGTTTTTCTTGACAGAATGAGGCGGGGGGAGCTGTTTGACTACCTCACAGAAAAAGTGACCCTGAGTGAAAAAGAAACAAGGTGAGTTTGTACCATTGACGTTTTTCGCTAAATCTTTTCATGGACTCGCCATCTTGGATTCCGCACGTCACTGCAGGAGCATGATGCGAGCTCTGCTGGAAGCGGTGCGCTACCTCCACTCCCGCCACATTGTCCACCGCGACCTGAAACCTGAAAACGTTCTGCTGGACGACCAGGGACACATTAAACTGTCCGACTTTGGCTTCTCGGTGCAGCTGCAGCCTGGGGAGAAGCTGAGAGGTACTCGAGTGAGAATCACAAAGTGTTCAGTGAGTTGCTGCTAGAGGCGAGACGCTTTTTAAAAGCGTCGCTCTTTGTCTGTTGTTGTAATTAGAGCTTTGTGGAACACCCGGCTACTTGGCTCCCGAAATACTGAAATGCTCCATGGATGAAATGCACCCGGGCTACGGAAAAGAGGTTGACCTGTAAGTCCAGACCAGATGCGCGTCATTTATCACATCCGTCAAGGAAGTGTGGTTTTACATTTGCTTTTTCTGTTTCTTGTCTTGAGCCTTTAAAAAGTTCCTCCAGGCTTCCGAGAACATCCGGAATTTAGTAGCGGGTGTGCACACTTGTGCAACCACATTATTGCTGATATTTTTACTTCCCCTCTCAAAAATAGGAAAAACATTTTATCTGTGACTCCCACGAGATCAACATACGTCCGTGACACATCCAATTTGAAGTGAGTGGATGAGCTCCGTTTAGGCAAAAGTAGTCCTTTGCCATCTTGTGGCTTCACAGGCCAATTATTTGGAATTTGTGGCAGGGCCTGGTCCACTGTGGAGAGGTTTGCATTGACTCATTTGCCTCTTAGCCGGGACTTTGGCGCCCTCTTCTGGCACATCTAAAAAGTACCCAAACTGCATTCTGCACCCTTGCACACTTCCCAATTGAATCTAGTTAAGACCATCGAGTCGTGGGGGGGGCGACTGAGACAGTATAAGAGTGGGAGCCATTTTGTACAGGTGACACCTTCTTCCACATCTTGTAAGAAAAGGCTCCATGGCAGCGTTACTCCCGTCTTGCTGGCGTCCATTAAATAGCTCAACTGAGAATCTGCAGCCTCCTGCTAGCTACCGTTAGTACAACATTGCGAGCATGACATTGAAAAGTTGGTGCCATGACTCGGATCCACTCTCTGTGTGTGCTGCCACAGCTGGGCATGCGGCGTGATCCTCTTCACCTTACTGGCCGGCTCGCCGCCCTTCTGGCATCGCAAACAGATGCTGATGCTCAGGATGATCATGGAGGGCCGCTACAAGTTCGGCTCGCCCGAGTGGGATGACCGCTCGGACACTGTCAAGGATCTGGTCAGCTCAACTTAAACTGCCTCAACACTTGACCCGGGAATAGCAAATAGCAATTTTCATGATTTAGACTTGGAAGCTTCCAGCGTATTTGCCGGTCCTGTGAGAAGCTTCGCACTTACCTTGGTGTTTGGCCGCCGCCGCCGTTCAGATCTCCAGGCTGCTGGTGGTGGATGCCGCCGTGCGTCTGACGGCCGAGCAGGCCTTAGCTCATCCTTTCTTCAGGCAGTACCAGAAGGAAGACGTGCGACGTTTCAGCCCCAGAAGGTCGTTCAGGGTGAGTGCCTTCACAAATCTGCCTGCGGCGAGAAGTAATATAAGTACTCGTGCCATTTTTCAGGAATCTGTTTTATTGTTACAAATACATTTCAGAATCTGTACTTTTTGACTTTAACAGGTAAAATGAGTCATTATTTCTACTTTTACAATTTTTTTTTTTTTCAAATTCTGTATTTACCTTTACCCAAATAAACCCAAGTATACGTACTTCGATGTATGTGCAGCCCGTGAGTATTTTTTTTCCTCACCTCTGAAATGGTTCGATGCGATCCGCCGCCGTCTTTTACTCAGGTGTTGATCGTGACCGTGCTGGCGTGCATCCGGATGTACGCCCGCTATCGCAGGGCCCGCCCGCTGACCCGCGAGGTGCTGGCCCGGGATCCTTACTCGCTGCGGGGCGTGCGCAAGCTCATCGACGGCTGCGCCTTCCGCATCTACGGCCACTGGGTGAAGAAAGGCGAGCAGCAGAACCGGGCCGCCCTCTTCCAGAACACCGCCAAGGTCATGCTGCTCGAGCTGGAGGACTTTGAAACATAAACCTCATCTTTAGTCTTGTTTTTCCACTGGCGCTGTTGTGTTCTGTCAAGGTGCGGTTTCATTTTTAGAGGAGGGACTCGGGAATTTATGCCTTACCGCATGCTGTCTCAAGCACGCACATAGTTTAACAAAAATAAGAATCCTGATAAGCATTTTTGGGGGGCGGGCTGAGGGGGGTTGTTTTAAATTGCCTCAAGTCACATTTTTTGCAGTGCGCTTTGCGCTAAGGGGCATTTATGCACGTTCTCATTCGTGTTTGGGAAAACACTGTGATTAGCTATTTAACATGAAACTACTCGCAAGAAGTTTGCTTTCGTCGGGTTTCAGTTGAACCTTTGGGATGAATCTAAAATGTACAAGTGAAGAAATGTGCGTTTCACAGTTCCGAGAAGGTCAAATCCAGTTCTGGAAAGGATCTCGTGCATTTTAGGTTCATCCTCAAATGTCATCCAAACATTTCATGAGTCGTCTATTACGCATACGGCTGTGGATGGTGTCTCATATTTACAGATCTTCTAAGACAAATGTGAAATATTTACAGCGTGTACTGTACTTGGCATGTTTTTGGTTGACAAAAAACAAAAATCTCCAAGTTTCTTCAAGAAGAAACCAAGCGTTTGTGACTGTATTTCCTGTGAAAAACTCATTCCACTGCACCATGACCGTTGAAAGCGACGAAATAAAAACTATTTAATATTTGCTCCACTACTTCTTGTCATTTTTTTCCCTCCCACCTCTGACTCTCGGTGCAACCCAGTAATACGAAATGGACTTGAAAGACAAAAAAGATGGCAATTGTTTTGGAAAAATAAAAAATAAATAAAAAGTTGAACAACACGACGGGCAGCGCCAAAACAAAAAATGTGCCGCCCTTTCCGCATCGCTGCAGCGTGGCTGTGTCCATGGCAACCGGGTACCTCACTCCCACGGAATCCATTAAGTCGAGAGGTGCGTTTGTGTGTCGCGCTTTGATGTTTCCGGAACCTATTTCGGCCACTTCACCAGAGATGCTGCTGATTTGAAAACACGTCCATCTGTCTCTTGCCGGGATGACGTTTTTTTTTCTTCATTTTGGAGGTCAAAAAAAAAAAAAAAAAAAGATGCAATCATCCTGTCGGTTTTAAGAGTCTGCTGTCGTGGGACTGTAAAGAAGAAGCCTTTGTGGCCTGCGCCTTCCTTGGTTAGTCATCCACGCCGGCTGAGCAGTCGCTCTGTTTAAGAACATTATCCCCTTGTAATCCACTTTGCCTTCTGTTCCATGCAGGTGAGCAGACAGTCAGATGGAGCCGGGGGCCGCTACTGTCGCACGCCCGCTTCCTCTTTTAATTGCTTCAAGTGCTTTCTTTCCAGCCCGCCGTCGCACTCTTTGTTCAGTTTTCAAGCGACTTGCCGCCGCCGCCGCTCATCAGGATGGAGGATCCGGACCTACGGCAGCAGAAACTGGACAATCAGGTCAATAAACAACAACAACAATACATATTCGACTGCTCGGTGTAAAAATGAAGGCCGGCTGTGCTACTTTTGTGTTTTCTTTGGAAAGTTTTGAACAATTATTATGGCGTATTCTGTTTCCAGGTTTACTTTTCATCATATCTGACTTTGCATTTGTCAAACTCACCTGCTATCGAGCTCGAGGCAACGTGAGCGTTACAAAGTCAAAAGGCAAAGGCGGCAATGCTTAGTTTTTCCCCAACAGCAGGTTCATTATCTTGGCTTGACGTGCTGCGAAAAGAGCACAAACACATCTAATTCTGATTCGGTTACTGGTTTGGTCGGTCAAATGTCAGAACGTAAGGGATGATGTCGCTCATTGTTGACCGAAGTAAAAAGTCGGTCTGTGAAAATGACACATTTGCTTCTTGTGGAGGGCGACAGAAAGATGATCAAAATAATCATCAATTCATTTGATCATCGATCAAGTTGTTGTCGCATTTGTAAACTGACAAAACGGAAAAACAAATCGAAGTGTAACAGCTGTTCAAGTGCGTAGTAGAAGTGCTAATCAAGGAGGGTCTGATCGTATCCCAGCGATCCATTTTGATGAAGAAGCAACAAAAGAAACGGGCCGATTGTCAAATGGTGGTGGCCAACCGGGACTCGCGCCAAAAGAACCGCAGACAAAAAGGCCGCTCGGACGAGACGCCGCTGCTGATCAGCCAGTCCCTGAGCAACATCTCCCTGAGCGGTTGGTCTCTCCCCCCCCCAAAAAAAGAAGAAAAAAAAAAAAATCACCCGGTGTGCCTTCACAACCGTTTAAAGAAATCATTTCTATCCCATTTCCTGCGAAGAACAAGTGGAGCACGCGCATGACAACCCGATGGACGTCATCACGCTGGCGGAGTGCGACGGCGACGCGAAGGCCGCCAGCGTCTTCGGTGAGGTGCCGGCGGAGAAGCCGCTCAGTCCCAAAAAGATCAACTTCGACGTCGAGCACGAGGAAGATGAAGCAGAGGACAGCGATGCGCACGCGGGAGGCAAGAAGACCAACAAACAAGAGAAAGTCAAAGGCAAGGGAGCAAAACGTCTCGCCGCGTCGCGGATTTTCAGCGACTATCGGGGTGTCTGGAGCAGATCCGCCGCCATAAACATTGTACCCATGTGCAACATCCATCAATCGCGGCTGCAGCGGACAATGACGGACAGGAGAAGGCCAAGGTGAAACCAGAGAGAAAAACCAAAAGGCAGGACAAAGCCAAAGACCGCAACGACGGACAAAAGACAAACAAAACGACCAAACAAGAGCGCACAAGTAAGCAGGACCTTTCGTTGTCCAGATGATTTGGACTTCATGGAAGTTTGTGACTATTCCTCTTTGAAATGCGTGTCATTTCTATTTTGTGCAGAGAAGCACTTACGCGACGCGTCGCCATCAGACCGGGAGCAGACAAAAAACGGGCATGGCGAAAGCGGCGATGATGAGCAAGACGAGTGCCCCGCCGCCCGCGACTCCCCTGGGAGTAAAAAACATCTGGACACATGTAGGCGTCCGTGTGCGGCCGCCATCTAGGTGGGGTTAAAAATTTGAAATAATCTGCCGTGACTCTTCCCCACAGCCAGGTGCCAAATCAGCGACGACAGCAAGGACGAGGACGTTCGGCTAGAAGGGAAAGAAAGGAGGAAGAAGAAGAGAGCGGAGAAAAACACACCGAGTGTCGCATCTCTGAACTCCAACTACAAGGAGAGCTCGTCTTCAGGCAGCGAATCCACCAACGGAGTGAGTCGTCACAAATTGAACCACGTTTGGGCCAACTCCATTTTGGGAGTGACCGTAAAACTCTCAAACACACGTCTGCCCACATGTCGGCCAATCAAGATGGATGACTCGAGGAGCATTTTTTTTTTTTGTCGCTGCAGACGGCTTCTCGCATATCGTTGGAGGACCTCGAGGAGTTCGCCTTTCGTCCCGCCCCCAGAGACCTGACCATCCAGTGTCGGGTCACCCGGGACAGGAGAGGCATGGAGAAGGGCATGTACCCGACGTACTATCTTCATATGGAGAAAGATGACGGAAAGAGGGTGGGTTCTCATCTTGGGCTCAATGAAAGGACTTCTGCCACCTTTGTTGTGTCACTCGTCAAGGCCAGTTGTACTCTAAAGACTGAGTTGGACTCTGTGTCGGTTTCTCTGTACCGTACGTGACCATGAAGGTGTTTCTAATGGCGGGCCGCAAAAGGAAGAGGAGCAAAACATCCAACTATCTCATCTCAACGGATCCCACCAACCTGTCCCGAGACACCAGTTGCTACATCGGAAAGCTACGGTTGATTTTCTATTTCGCGAAAAGCAGTTTTAACACTTTGGATGGTCGCGTTTGCAGAAAGACTGATCACGTATGTTCCAGGTCCAACGTTCTGGGAACCAAGTTCATCGTATACGATGGAGGCGAGAACCCAGAGAAAAAGCCTTTTATTAAAGAATGTGAATCTGTGCGACAAGAGCTGGCGGCCATTTGTTACGTGGGTTTCATCATCTCATTATGCACTCGCTCTCAAGCTGCCGCTCCACCGACTAAAGAAGCCTTTGAATTCCGATTGCAGGAGACTAACGTGCTTGGATTCCGGGGTCCCCGCAAAATGACAGTCATCATCCCGGGAATGCTGGAGAATGACGACAGGGTGTCCATTCAGCCCAAAAATGTCAGGTTATGATCGGGGCCTTGGTATGATGTGATGGTGCAAATGCTTAACCGGAGCGCCGGCGACGCTTTCAGGAAGAGGAAACCCTGCTGGCGCGCCATGCCAACAACAACATGGACAAGCTGGTGACCCTGGTCAACAAATGTCCCAGCTGGAACGAGCAGACGCAGTCGTACGTGCTCAACTTCCACGGCCGCGTCACGCAAGCCTCTGTGAAAAACTTCCAGATCATCCACCCGGAGAATGGTGAATTCAAAACTGCGCCCAGATTTATCGCCACAAAGGGATGGTTCCATTTGGAACGACTGACAAGGCCAACAGTTGGCATGGTAGCATATAGTAACCGAGCATCGTGAGTTCAGATGACACAAAGGCAGATAGAAAAGGATTTTATCTTGCGCCCAAGGACATGACTTCACGTGGGAATAGTCGGTATGCTCACGTGTTGCTGAGTGGCGAAAGTGAGGTACAGCCAGATGAATGTTACAGTTTTCTCTGTGCTTGCAAACTACTTCCGATAAGAACCCGACAATTTTATAGGAGATCAGCTCAAATGCTAACGGTCAGCATACACCATGGCGCTCTTGAGTAGAAGGGGCGCTCAAGCGGATTGCGAAGCATTTGACACTGTGGCTCGTGGTAAGGAATCATCTCAAAAGGAGATTGGTTCAAATGCTAACGTTGGTCACGCAAACAGAAAGCAAGATGGCTATTTTTTTTTCCCCAACAGCTCGCCGTGTTCTAACAACACACGTCTGACTTACGTGGTGGGTCTGTCTTCCAGGCGACTACATCGTGATGCAGTTCGGCCGCGTTTCCGAGGACGTCTTCTCCATGGATTACAGCTTCCCCATGTGTGCCATTCAGGCCTTCGCCATCACGCTGTCGTCTTTCGATGGCAAACTGGCCTGCGAGTGACCCTCAAGTGCTCCGCTGGCTCTTGGATCTGAACTACACGTGGGAAAGAAAAAAAATATGCAACAACCAAAAATAGCCTACCTAGCTTGTTTTTACTGCCATGTGTCCTTGGATGTGGCAATAGGGAAGCGAACGCAAAAGGATTTAGCGTTAGGAGTTGTGCACAATTCTGGCCCAGTTTTATATTCATTCAATTTCTTGTCTTTATACATCGGTGCAATTTCAAAGCAATCACTGGAATAATAAAATAACCAACATTAAAATAATTAAAGCTCTCGGAAGGGTGTTTTCTTATGTTGTTACTTCACACCCTTTCCTCATCCATTCATGACCTTGCTTAACGTGTCGGTGGACCGAATATTTGTGGCCAGCAAGTTGATTTCATATCTATTATTCGGGGATTTCAGTGCACCGATAGTTGTTGCTTGTATGACTTGTCCAATGCAGTTTTCTTTCAGTCAGAAGCACGTGCAGAAGCAGAGTCATCTACTTAGCGTGTTCAGCGTAAACTTTAAGGTCTCTTATCACCAATGACGAAACGGATTTATCTAAGTGGTGCAAAGAAAAATACTTTGGTATCACATTGAAGACATGGCGCACATCTTATCGCGATTACTCTTGCGCCACAATCGACACGTTTCCAATTCGCAAGAGCAGAAGCTCCTTTGCACCACTTTAGACAGGAAGGAAGGATAAATATAAATTCTTGACACAACTTAAACAATTTTTTAGCAGTAAGTGTTTCGGTCGTGTGCATGAGAACATTTTCTAACATAATGAATGTCGGGCCACTCACATTTTACAGGCGAATGATTGTCACCCGACAACTTCTGATCTTTTACACAATCAGCGCACGAGCCGCTTCATCATTTTGGGTTGTGCAACTTCATGCGGTTCAAGACATGATGAGATTGGTCAAAGCTGCCCTAGAAAACACACGCGAGTTTGGAATTTTCTATTTGCAAGAATTAACTTTGCGTTCGCATGCAAAGATTGCGAGATACCTAAAAAAATGCGAGGGAACTTTTTAATGTGCATTTATATACTTGCGGGTTATCTTTCGGGTAAATGAAAGCAAAAAAAAAAAAATAGAGCGTTTTCAATCGTGGGCGAGTTCAATCTCATTTTACTTTGAAATTGACTTGAAACAAAAGACATAAAATTAGTTCTCGAGTTGAAGCACAAATAAGCGAAATACGTCTGAAGTGTACGATCGTCTCTCAAAAAGCCGCGCAAGAGAGGCCACGGTAGCCAACCTGAGCCAAAAGTATCTCAACGCGCATTTTATAAAAGAGTTCCCTTGCAAAGAAAAAATAACTGCGTTATCTTGCAATCTTTGTGAGGTCACGCAAAAACTTTGGGAGGGAACGCAAAGTTATTTTTATTTTTGTTCCATGTCACTTTAAGAGTTCTGTAAAAATTTAATGTGCAGCATGCGATTAAATCTTGAGGCGCACATGCGCCTACTAGCCTTCTCCTTGTCAGAGATAAGGCAGCGCGAGCCTCCCTCCTCCTCAGCTCGTCCTTCAAATAGAACTTTGCGGCCAAACGCGCCTGAGAGCCCCGCTGCAAGTGCCGAGGGGATGGAGAAGCTCAGAGTGATGCTGCTTTTACTACACACGGCACTTTCTGTCGCAGGTGATGACCTTATCGCAATACATTCCTTTGAAACGATGACAATCAAATGGTCGGAATTTATGTGAGGGAGATGATGGTGTGAAGTCTGGAAAGAATTCGGGGGAAAATGATGCGTTTCTTTGATTTTGCGCTTGTATGTACCTGATGTGTTGGAGGAAAATTTTTAGTTAAGGACAGCAGTTGAACCAGGACTTGGACTTTTACCACTTTAATTTTAACTGTACTTCTACTTCAGAGCAGGGTATTTGTGCCACCTCTGATAAATTTGTGTGATTTTTAGACACGAGGGAGAGTTTTCAGTGCGACAACGATTACATGCTCACCATCAGTTGCTCCCTCAACCTCACGTCAGGCCACGGGACCCCCCACTGGTTGACTTTTGCCAAACTACATACGAGGTAAGTCTCCTCCGCCGCGACCTAATTTGCGACTGCAAACGCCGACTATAGGCGCTGATCTTCATTTCTCTGCAGCGAGAGATACAAATGCAATTTGTCAAACGCCGGCGGAGGCCGCCAGTCGTGTTTCATCACGGTGAAGAAGTCTTGCAGCTTTATGGATCTCGACGAGTTCGCGATCTCGCTGTGCGGAAAAACAAAAGATGGAGGGCCGTGGTGCCAGCCGATGGATGAAAAATACACGCTGAAGGATCATAGTAGGGGGCAGTCATCATAAGCCCCCCCCCCAATCATCCACACAGTATATTCAGCAGAAACAAAAGATACATCAAAAAAAGCAGAAAATGCACTTTTGACACATTTTCAGTTGAAAATGTTTACTGCATCCCTAAAATATATCTAAAACCATAACCGACGACTCCTCTGCTTCCCCAGTTAAACCGCGTGCACCGTGCTGCCTGGCAGTCAGCCACAACTCCAGTCAGCACCGCTTCACGTGGAAAAACACCTATGAGAAATGTCGATCCTACACCCTGAAGGAAAACCTGGATTATCAGCTCTGTTTCTACAATCGACGGGACAAAAACAGCGTAAGGAGGCCGCTTTCAAACAGGTCAAAGGTGACAAAATGAGATCGTCAAGATCCTTCCTCTCCCCCCAGACGAGAGTCCACTACGCGTACGGTACGAGCTATTCTGTGAATGACGGCGACCTTGAGCCGGACACGGAGTACAGTACCAAAGTGAGGTCTAAGCCCAGCGCGAATCACTTTCACGGCCAATGGAGTGACTGGTCGCAAGAGGTCCACTGGAGGACTGTCTCAGCCAATGGTGAGGTCAAAGCTCTCGCGCTTATGAAGCATGCTCAAAACAAATGCTCGACAACAAATGCTGCCGCGAGTAGCGAAGGTCATCGTCATTGTCGGCTGCTCAAAAGTTTTGTAATGACTTAAAAACGGCCAATAAAATAATCTGTTGGATCCTAGAAGCTACTGCCTGCAATACAGTTTGGTTACACTGCAGCTCTGCTTACCTATTGGCTTTGACATGATTTTTCATGCACAGGGTTGACCCAATGACAACATCATCCTTTTCCAGTTTTGTGGGAACTTCTCATTGTTGCTCTTCTCAGATTCCGCAGTGGATGGTTTCTTTTCGATACATGGCAAAACTGTCTTCCTGGCCTCAGCTGTGACGGCCACACTTGTCCTGTTTTTATGCTGCGCTTTGCTAAAAAAGTAAGGTGCTCCTCCATTTGCAAACATTCCAAACAAGTGCACATTTCATTGGTCAGGATTTGCTTACGTGCAGGTGGAGGCAAAGTGCGTTCGTTCCCACTCCGGCGCCATACTTCCAGAGCCTCTACACCAATTGTCATGGGGATTTTAAGGTAAGTCGTGTCAGGCGTGTGAACCGTTCAAAATAGTAGTCAGTTGCTTCTGCTGAAAAGCTAACAAAATGTTACTGGGCTGTTTTCCTTCAACTTTCACCTGCCTTCCTTTAGCCTAGACGAGACAAAGCGGAGTGAATTATGAACAGTTCAAAAGGCCAGTCAGTGTTAACACAAAATGTTCAGCTTTCTGCTCAGAAGCAAAAATATCAACAAGGGTTGTCCCCCCCCCCCCTCCACATTTTTTTTTTAAATCTCCACTTTATACCTTAGTATCGGCTCTTCTACTTAATTCCGGATTGTGACGACTTTTGCCAATGTAATCAGAGCTGGATGGACACGCAAGCAAACGTGACCTTCACACTCAAGCCAGAGGACACGCTCCGCGTCGATGGCCTTGTGGAGGAGCGTCCAACACAGGTTGATGAGATGGTGTATGAAAACCTCAAAAGCCATCCAGCATGTTTGCCGCCGGATGAGGGGAAGGCGACATGCAGGCCCGGCAGCGTTCCTCTCATCCAGGGGCAACCTGTCCGCTCCCGCCCCGAATACTGCACAATCAGCGACTTGCAGCAATGTGCGCAAGTCACGGGAAATGTTATGAAGTCTGAGATGAAGCACACCGGAAAGTCAACGAATGATTACTGTAATGACACCGAAGCGAGAATGACGCTTTCTGGACATTAATTTGCAATTGCGGGAGGTGGGTGCAATGTCCTTTGGTGAATGTGTCGAGATGATTACAATGGGTTGAGGAAAAAGATATCAAGTTTCATTTTAAATAGCATTGAATGTATTCTTGTTTACGGCACAAAGCTTAGCACGAGTTTTTTTTTTAAGTCAATAAAATATCATACTCACCGGAGATTATGACTATTAAATCCCTTCATGTGTGATGATCGCAAAGTTGGCCGCAAGTAGTAACTTTTGCTCCACCTGCCAATCGGAAGACAGAAAAATGCCTGGATGAAATCCAAACCGACCACATCAATGGCAGCAGCCCAAGCAAACGCCAAAACTGGAGAGAATACCGTTGTTAAGGAATACAAATTCATGGGAAAAAAAATTCAGGTTGAGAAAGGCGCTCGACAGCGCCCTGCTGCACGCGACGAAGCCAAGAAACCTTTTGTAGAAAGTTTTATTTACGGCAACACATACATGAACAAAGCACCGTTTCACCTTAAAGTCTGATACAATGGTATGCCTACCTGCCTCGGTCGTTCGCAGCCTTTTTACTCCTCCAAAGAACCAAACACCCGGAATTAACAAAAAGACAGCCAAGGCAGCAGATTCTATCATATGTTACAGCATGCTGAATAGAAAAACCCAGGAAAGAATTAGACCATCTAGAGACACTAAGTGAAATACAACAGTATAAAAGTGCCATTCATCAGACAGCAGTTGAAATACTGACAATGAAATAAGCAGACATGTACATTAAATGTGTGGAAAAGAAGAGAGAGGGAGGGGGAGATAGCGAGGAAAAAAAAAACCAAAAAAAAAAAAAAACGTTCTTCCATGGACACGGATGACGGCCAGCTTGCATGGACTCGATCAAACTGGACTGGAGTCGCATCCCTTGCACCACATAAGACAAAGTTTAAAAATAAATGACCAGGGTGCTGAAGCACCGATCCCCTCTCCGCGTGACGCCCCGACCGGCCATTTAGAGCAAAACGAACGGCGCCAAAACAAACAAACAACAACAACAAAAAAAAAAAAAAAGACAGGTCATAAGGGGTGGGTGTGGATGGCACAGAATGTGGAGAGTTTAAATAGAAGTCTTTAAGCAAGTCCCGATGTGAGGGGAGCACATTCATTGTGACTGAGCGGGGAGGTGATTCCTTCTGCCACAGCAAGACAACCCGTCCTTGCCTTTACGAGGGAGAGAACTTTTTGGCTTGTGATCGCACTCTCTTTTCGTACTCTACTCTGTTTTGGCTGGAAAAGAGGAGGGAGGGGGAAAAAAAAAGACAACATCAGGATGCTGAAAAGCCATTTTGTCGCAAAACATAAATTTGGGTAGTACAGCAGCAGAGACTGCAGACTTTGCTTTTCATTAGCCACAGCTACATCGGGAGTCGCCAACTCTGACCCCCTCTCCCCCACAAATAGCATCGTCACAGACTCTCCAGCTCTCCCAACGGGTAATTGTAAGTGACTGCTCATCTCTTCATCTTTCGGAGCAATATGTGACTTTGTTGCCTTCGACAGACCGAAACAGAGCGCGTATCTTACCAGTAGATTGTGTAAGCCTCTGCTTGGGCTGGATCCTGGATATTGGGCTCGTTTAGAAGTTCCTGAATACCTAATAGGATCTGCGGGAGAAATTACCCAAAGAAAATGAAGAGACAAAATGAAAAATCCTTTGGGAGAAAAAAAGATTTCGGCATCGTTTTCCCCACGTCATTCAACGAATCACGTCAGTCCAAACGGGTGGCAGTTTACGCAGTGCAAACCTGTTTTATTGTAATGGCTGGTCTCCAGTCCTTGTCCTCCTCTAGGATAGAAAGGCATACTGTGCCCGATGGATACACATTGGGATGAAAGAGAGGAGGCTCAAATTTACCTGAACACACAAACAAGAAAAAGCCATCGGTATGACATCAGTGTGGGACAAAAAAACAAAAAAAAAAAAAAACAAAAAACAAAAACCCACACACAAGAGCTCGCCTTTACCATCTGGACAAAGTCGACTCGTGTGAGGCAGTTGCCGGCTTCCAAGGCAATTTGACCACCTACCGAGTCTCTGACTCGTAACAAAGTAAACAGATGAGGAAAGGAGAGTGCAACTCACATTTTGGAGGTGATGAAGGATAGTCATCCTTGAACAACATGCGCAGTTTGAAAAGGCCTCCCTCCCACGGAGTCTGGTGACACGCAATTATGTGATCAGCTTTGCAAATACGCAATGTCCAAGCACGGCTCAACGTTTGGTTTTGAAGTTAAAGCGAGGGGCGAGCAGTACTACGATCCACAAACTCTGGACAGTGCAACTCATTTCAAACGAATTCTGTTGAATTAGAATGATAACGGAACATTACCCCCTTTTTGCCAGGGATAGCGCACTCCCAGTTCATGAGGTTCATGGTGCCATCCGGGTTTTTGGTTGGTACAGCAACAAATCCCTGAAGAGACATTCAAGAAAATCTAACTTAACAGCAATGAAACTCAAGTGTACAGTAGACTATAAGGCTGTATAAGAATGTATTTTAAACAATAAACTAAAGTGAGTGTGGTAATCCTCTGGCTGATTCACAATTACCGATTTTCCCCTACTTCTGATTTTTGTCCTGTTGAACAACATTAAAACTATTCAGTGCCTTTACACATCTAGCGGTGGATTTTTTTTTTTTCTTCTGTAAAACTCCTGGTAGCACAGATGCACTTTCAGCGCAATGTCAGCAGATAAGCACGTTGGTTTATATTGAGGATTTAAGCTATTCAAATTCGCCAGTGATCATCAAAGTGCGGTACAAAGAAGAATCTTTTTTTTTTATAGGACATTGGTGACATACAGTTCATTTGTATTTAACTTTGAAGTACGAATGTGCTCTATGACTGTTTTGAAACATTTATTACAGTCCGCCCCCCCCATACGGGCCCAGTGACACAACTGTAATTTCAAGTTCGTCATTAAGGAGGTGCTCAGAGAACTCTGTATTTTTGTAGGTGTTGCTTGGGGTAGAACATTTGAGGTCCACTAATATGGCAATTTCAAATATGTTTGTTTTTTGGGTGGGAGCATTTTTTCACAAATGTCTGCCATTAGTGAGGTTTCACTGTAGACTTACAAAAGGATGATCCTTCCGCCATGCTTTGCGCTCCTGGGCAAGCCGGCTCAATGCGATGCCAGACATGATTTATGGACTCCTGCAATGAAGAGGAAGAATTGATATCCAAACTAAAACATGGACCAGGGGTGCCAAACTCATGTTTTTCCCGAGCCGCAATGTATTATTTACGGTTTCCCTCAGAGGGCCATTATGACTGAAAACCCATCGAATAATGTAGGATTGCTTCATATTATTGAACATACAGCGCAATTTGATGGATAAATACTGTAGTGTTGAAAACAAACATTTGCTTTTGCGCGCCACATCATATAAAGCGGCAGTCTGGAGAAAACTTAAACATAAAAACATGCACAGCTTCTCGTGCAGTTATTTTTCTGAGCCATAATGGGTTTAAAAAAACATCCACACTGAACAAATTAAGCTCTGATAGTCAAATCTTCTGGTTACAACCATGGCTGGACAAGCTCTTTCATTGTGGGGCAATCACTCTTAACCAGCGTGCCTAACACTGACAGATCGTCAGGTATACCGAGGGAAGTTTGTGCAACTTTACTGAACTGGTCTGAAAATTGACTAATTTACAGTGAAAATAATTTACTTCAAATAACCTGCATATTTGACCACCTTTCAATGCCAGCGGTATATTGTGACATCTCCAGGAGTAAAATGCTCTTTCACAAGGTTTTTTTTTTCTCCAAAAAAGGTTAAAGATAAAAGGCTGCATTTCTGGCAAACGCTTTAGGAACCGTTAAGAGACGAGCCAAGTCGTTCAAAAACACGAACATAGCAAGTAGCCTCTATGCCACTTGGCGACTGAGCTGCTTCATCCATGGGGTCCATTGGTTGGTGAACCGGCATGAAAACAGACTTTTGGGTTCGAAAGTGACAGTTTGGACTCGTTAGTCTTTCGATGTAAGAAGCTAACAGTTAGCCCCCACCTTGGTTAGCATGTTCATTATTTCCGAGCTTTAAACTCTAACTTGTGAGATTTCTTCCCTCGCATTCTAAATGGACCGAATCTATTGTGGCTCTTAGCTGTTTTGACTTGTCATTTTTTGTGTCAGACGGGAGTCAAAAGTGCTGAAGCAAAGTGATTAGCCAGCTAGCGGGTTAGCTCGCGAGGCTAACTCATGTGCGCCAGATCCAAGAGGCGCAGTTAGCGACTGTCACGGCCTGATGCAGCACAAAAAATGGCGCAAATGCACTTGATTCGAACACATTCCACCAACAAGGAGCAGAACCACAGAATAACTCGTAGCCCCTCGATAGCTCCCGGCGTGGGATTCGATATGCCGTCAAAAGAAAGCAAGCTTGAACCTTTAGGATTAGGACAAAGAACATCGGCGCCGGGACGCACATTACATTAGTGCCATTACCAAACTAGCGAAAATGGCGCAAAAGGAAGCGGGTAAAAAGCTTTGTAGACGACAAAACTCGCGCTTTCCATCACGGTGGTGCGCTCCTACCTTTCAATATGGTTGCTTTGGCTCGGGGGACAAATCTATGGCAATTAAACGTGTTCAAATCGCGTTAAACCTGGTAAAGTTTCCCTCCTGAAAAAAAAAACACCCGCTCCGACTCAAGCCAGACTCAGAGAGGGTCGAGCGGAATTTCATCCGTCGCGTACTTCCCCCTTCGCTTAAATAGAAACGTGTCATTTTGGGATGTTTTAGTTGCAGGGATTTTTTTTTTTTTACGTCAGTGATTCTCGCACTAATAACTGTTGAATTGCATATTTGTTTCCATCGAGTTAAGCAGTTTCTTTTGACAAACCATGAACATTTCAATCGTTCGTTATCAACTTTAACAGGTGCGAATTCCCCCACATGCGTAACATATCTGAACCATCGTGGAAATATCTGGGAAATGGACGCGGGGACTTTTTTTTTGTTGAATTTGATGTTTGTTTTACCATGTTACATGCATCCACTTTCCAGGAGCAAGCATGTACGCTTGACTATTTCTATCTTGTCTTTTTGTAAAATCTTTGATTAGGGTGGGCGAATTTTACGCATGACACATTGGGACAATGTATGACAATTTTTACAAGACGGACAAATACCTTGGCGTTGTACGACATCATTTTATGCTTTATCAAAAAATATTCATGTAAACAAACGAGTTAAGTATATTTCTACACTGGCAATATTTACGGCAGCTACGCTACAGGCATCGCGTTTTAAAAGAAACGACACAAGAGGTCGCTATTTATGTTATACAATAAGACTATACAGTATTTCCAAGTGTTCACAAGCAGCAGTTAAGCAGTGAACAATTATCAAAACGTTTCATGCTGTTAACTTCCAGAGTCACAGTTGAAGTTTAAACATAAAAGAGAATTGCAGAATTTATTCAAAACAACATAGCCTTTAGAATTCCCCTTCCTAGCTCAATGCCAAAACATAAAAACAACATTGACAGGCTAACAGTAGCATCAATAGTTGCGATAACTCTTTAACCAACAGATATTTGAACACAGCAAACAGTGGAGCAACGCATGCTTCCGTGCGCTGGCGTAGATAGTCTTCATACCTGTACTCACGTCTCTAAATTATTTACCCTCTGTGCAGAAGAGAACAAATATTGGAGCTGACCAAATATCAGGATAATGGTAACTCACTCGAGTGACTATTATACTGCCCCCTGATGGTCATGAACACTTTTTAATTAGGTTTAAGATAACACATTTGAAACTACTCTTAACTTTAAATAAAACCACACAGACATGAATGACAACTTTTTTTATTGGCTTCACCTTTCTCAAGACCACAATAGATTTATCCCCTTTATCTAATTCATAGTTTATACACATTGCATAAGATCATATAGAAGTGATGTACTTAGTGATATGAAAACAATCATCGACGTAACTGTCAGATTGAATGTGGAGGGTGGTGGGTGGGGAGTTGACATTGCATTCTTTCACAAACATAAAATGTTATCTTGAATCATGCATCTCGGTGGTTTGTGGCTTATGACTTTAAATGCAAAAACAAACAGGGCACTTAAGAGTAGTAGGCTACAGCTTTGACATGATTTCCCATCAAACATAATTATTATATTACACATGCCACAAGATGGCGATGGTCCCCAAGAATCATCCTGAGGCGTCGGAAGGCCTCCTCAGAACACCTTCACTGAGATTACACAACCACACAGGAAAATTAGAAAATCTCACTGCAAAGGTACGCTCCCACCTAAAAACAAAAACACTGTTCAAAACCCATAGAGGTAAATTTCATCAATGCCAACAGGAGGGCGGCAATCAAGATTGTCTGCAACGCTCGAGTGGGCAGATGGCAGGGATGGCGCTACTCTGGCCTTCTGGGGGCCCTATAAACCCATCAGAATCCCGTGTAACCCCACTTTAGCCTCTCCAGCATTCTATTTGATAGTCTAAAATATATTTATAAATTATTAATTTTTTAAGCCCCGAGGAGAGGGGGGAAAAAAAATCCTGGAGCCCTGGCGGATGGAGTGGCACAACATCAGTCAGCATCTTTGTGTGGTCACTTCACGCGGAGTGCTTGTTACCAGAGGTGCGGTCTCACACACCTTTGACATGCATCAGGGAGCGCAACACAGAACACACGTTGGAAGGTTTCAGAATACTCGAGCAAATGTAAACACGGCCTAGCACTTGCCGAATATCCAGTCTACTCCAATAGACCCCTTTTGCTAATCTATTTTTTTTTTTTTTACTTAAAAAGCCCTTGTGTGAGGGGAAATGTGTATCTATATATATTTAAAAAAAACATGCATCCATACTTAGAAAACAGTTTTAGTCAAGTGTTCGTGTGAATACATGGAAGTGTTGTTAACGAGTCCATATGTACAAAGTGTGCCGGCAATAATAAAAAGTTTGCTCTTCCCTGACACTAAAGATCAATGTGTGCAATTCACGTAAGACATTAGATTTTGGTCATTTGGGGAGAGGAAAACAAGGCAACACCAAATGATTAATTGTGACTGAAATATTTCAACCTATCAAAACTGCACATCAAACCCAAAAACAACTGTTTAAAAAAAAAAGTTTTGAAATTTCAGTATATACAAATAACATTACAGGCTGTTCGCAATGTGCACAGTGTTGTTTTTTTCCTCCAACTGTAGTGCATGTAATGCTGTATATTAACTACACATTTAAAAAATGTTGAGTAGAATCTATCGCACGGCAGGAGAAGAAAAAAATCATGTAACAGTCAACTTCAAAGCCAAGTTTGGCTTTGTTATTAATAAAACATGTAGAGGCATGTTCTCAGTGAAGACACCTTGTTCAATCTCACTCAGAAATCTCTTCAATCCTGTACAAACTATGCAAAAACGGAAGGTCTTTTTTGTTGTTGGAAAAAAAAAAAGGATCCAGAATAACAACTTCCATTTGAAGTCATGTTTTTCTATACAGTGTACAAAACGTGCATTATTTTTTTTCTTTCAAATAGTTAAATATCAATATTGTTTTTCTTAAATTATTTACACTAAAACTAAATTCTCTGGATATGAACAGAGATTTTGTTCATTGTCCTTAAAAAAAAAAAGTTCCAGTCCACAATCCTCCTATGCCCCCCACAAATACTTCTTCTAGGCCCTGATATAAAAAGAGATGCTCCCTCAAACAAAAACAATAGAACCAATAAGTCAATCTGGCAAAAAAAAAAAAAAAAAAAAAGGATGTTCCTGACACTGGACAACACAAGTGTTAAACAGAACTACATCATATGAAGCAGTTCACTTCCAACGTATGAACATGATGTCTCCAATTCAATGACTTAAAACCGTGATTTTTTTTTTTTTTTTTTAATGAGCTGCAGCAATCTTGAGTCTGAAACGTCCTATCTAAGTGCTGAGAAAAGGTTCGGAACTATTCTTACCACGTGCATCTGCCGAGTGAAGAGGCCTTGTTGGAAGACAGTGCATGCCGCTACACAATGATACAGTCGGTACCATGACCACTAACGGCGGTGAAGCTGCCTTTAAAAAATAAAATAAAATAAACATCAAAAAGTGATTTGATTTCAGGTCGTTGTCTTTTTCTTAAAAGAAATGCAAATTCCCTTCTTGCCATCTCCAAACAATGGGACGCTTTTAAAACACAAAGAGCGCCCGGATCCCTTGCAAGATCAAGCTGGAGGATATCATTAAGTCAAGATCGATGGATAGATGACCCTGAGAGAATCACTGGCCGATATGATGACAGCCATTTTTTTTTCAATTAGTTAAAAAAGGGGGGAAGAAGAGAGAGGAAAAAAAAAAAGAGACCTGCCTCAAGTTGATAAGTTCCAGTTCAAATGTACAGGCACCAATTGTCAGTAAGCAGTCATATTTACATCAAAAACAAACAAAAAAAAAAAAAACAAATATGGAGGGAAACAGAAAATAAATGCACAACCCCCTCCTCCCCTTTCTCTCCCCTCCCCGCTTGAATCTCCTATTGTGCCAAATAGTTTTCCACGAGAATGATATGTTTGCATCATAACACCTGGAGCTCCTAATACTCAGTCGTCCTCACATACGGGAACCCCTTTCCTGAAGAATCTGTCACAGCAAAACAAAACAAAAAAAGAGGAGACGTTATTTTGGTGACAAAAAAAAAAAAAAACAACAACACATTTTTCTTCATTTATAGTGGGACTAGCAGACATGTAGTCAGTAAGCCTGATGGAGAGGTGAAGCGTGAACTATGGAAGGTTCCTGGAGAATTTTGGGGCACACAAGTCCGCCCGGTGGATACTTGGGCAGCCTCACGGTCTCATGTTTATTTTGTCTTGCCCTCTCGAAAAGCTGCTCTCTTCTTTCTTTCCCCCCAGTTGAGTGATACAGGTTCTAAAAAGCGAATGCAGTTCGGGTATCTCCTGAAAGCACGTCCGAAACCTCTCGTGACAGGAGCAGGTCGTCGCCGAGGAGGTAAGGGAAAAGGTGAAAGACTAGGTCGGAAGGGGATGCGCTGGACTACGGCCAGTTGAGCGCTCACCGGTGGGTCCTAAGTGCTCAACCCTAATCGGAATCATTCATTTCATAATCCGTGTCTTCATCGTCGCTCTGAGCAACATGCGGCAGGCGGACGGCACAGAAGACAAGAGAGACATGTTTTTAGAAACAATGGAATTGAATGGGAGGCTTGATGTGGGGAGGGGGGGGCACCAAAAGGGCAAAACATAAACATCATGCAAGTGAACTCCAAAAAGCATAAAGAGAGGCTTATCCTTTGACACCGCGCATGCGAAACACGTTCCGTCCGCTACTCTACATGGTGCAAAGGACATACGGTGACCCCAACGCGTTGTTCTTTGCTGACATTTCCTCCACGCACGCACGCGCAGACGGACGGACGGACGGGAGCGCAACATACCTTGGCCTTCTCGCTGGGCTCGCTGTTTGTCCCGTAGGATTGATTGTGCAGCTCCTTGGAGACAACACACAGGAACTCAGCTTGGTCTTCGTTGCCGTAGTTGTAAGAGGAGCCGATGCTGACCAGCTAGCGAGACACGACAACAAAGATGAGCAGTTTAAAAAAAAAAAAAAAAAAAAAAAAAAGATATGCAACAGAATAATCCATTGGGACTGTTTGCAATTTTCTTGGGAGCAACAGTTGCTCAAATCCACGTTACTCTTCAAATGACAAGAAATTCACTTACGAACAGAGGTGCAATGATTTATCGACAACTAATGGATGACCATATTAATCATTGTTGTGTTTTGATCATCAATGATTCATTTAGGGACCTGACTTTGCTTAAAATTGACCAAATGGTCAACCGCATGAAGTAAACATGCCACTTCACAAGTCAGTGGGGGAACGTGAACGGGTCAGCACGAGCTTGTGGTGAAAAAAACTCAAGTGAAGAAACTGAGGTGGGGTGGGGATCTCTTTCAGCGACTCACAAA